CGGTCCCCGGGACCCCGCGGGTGGTTTACGAGCATAAACTGCAAGTTGTTAGAAAAGGGCAGACTTTTTGGGACCTGCTACTAGGTGTTTGGGTGTAGCCTAGATCTCAGCAAAAATTACTATCCATTTTCTGCGCCTACATTTTTATGCCGAGAACACATTTTTTTTTCATACCATTTTTTCCCGCCAGGAAGCACATAGCCAAACTTTCTCTACAGCTAGTCATTCCTGCTGGCAACTTGGGCTTTGAAAAATGAAAAAAAAATCAAGAAATATTTGCCATTTCATACAGTATGTAGTGGGAGGAACTTATAATTATTAACTATCATCAGCTTTTTCTTTTTGAGAGATTTGATTCTTAGGAATTCTTTTTTCCAAAAACTGACAGGGGGGTTAAAAGAAACTGATGGGGGTGTTGAAAAATCTTGAAGGGGGGGGGGGGGGTGAATTGATGGGTCACTGGAAGGGGGGGGGGCTGCAAAAAAGAAATAATGATAGTAATAATAATAAATCATAAATTTTTGGTGACTAACCTACATTGTTCCCCAAAAATTGCATACATTTCAGGTGAGTAACATTTTGTCCAAAGATGCCCATTCATACATTTTTGGTGAGTATCATTTTGGGTTTTTGCCAAAAAAATCATACATTTTGGTTACTGACATTTATAGGGGGTTTCCTGGGTCCTAATTTGTCATTGGAAAATCCATCCAGATTTGTCCAAGAACAGCTGTATTCACAAAGAACATCTGTACAGGGTGATTTGTGTGGAACTATCCAAATGAAGCCTAATTGTGATCATGATGCTAGGACAGGCTTACATGACTAAGCTCTACATACCTCAAATTCAAGTGCATGTTAAAAGGTAGAACACATGTGAATCCTTGCCTCATGTCCACAGGAAGAAACACAAGAAAGAATACAGTCGACTCCCTATTAACCTATATACTCATTAACCCATGATTTTATTAACCCATGGAAAAATTAGTCCACCAATTTGGTAGGCAGGTTAATTTGGGCTTAACCCATAAGTCTCTCTAGCCCCGTAACCCATACCCTTTTTGAAAAAAAAAATGGATCTTCATGGGTTAATAGGGAATTTTTCCCAGCCTGATTTAGCTTTTTTTGATCTTGACAATTATCAAATTTCCCGTTTTCTTCTCTCTCTTCTCACACTGAGCCTTGTCATTTGTCTTTGATCCTTGAAGAGATTGTTTTCACTTTATTTTTGTAAACACCACCGTTATTTTTGGTCACACCACCATAAGGCCAGATGAAAACAAAGACATTCAACCTTTGGAGAAGCAGATTTATTGGCTCCAGTCGGTTGGTCTCCTAAAATCTGTAGTGACTCAGAGGGTGTAATCGTGGCTGAGCCGCAGCCAAGTCACACCATGTGACCTAGGTCACAACAAAATCAAGCAATCAAATGTCTGTCTCTGAGCTTCTCAACCCACCAATTGAGTCTGAATTTGCCATGTGGACTACCGAAGAGATTTACCAATAAGTCAAGGATGAAAGGACCAAACCAGATGATGAAGATGTTGACTGCAATGTTCCACCTCCTTGCCCCAAGCCAACTGTCAAAGAAGTCTTCAAAGCAGTTGCACTCATCAACGACTACATTGAGAATGACACCTGCAAAGCTGCCAATAAGCTCAATCAATCAATGGAAGCTTACTCAAAGCAACTCATCTACCACCTTATTGCTACTGCTCAACAAACCACCATCACTTCTTTTTTTCAACCTATCAATTCTGAATAATCTCTTCTATGTTCCACTTTTTTGTTTCCTCATTTTTACAATATGTACATAGTTGTTTTTCTATGTCAGAAAGCTGCCTGCAAAAAAAACTCTTTTACCCCATGAAAGCTATGGTTTAAAAGAGTCAAAAACCTCATTAACCCATGTGTTTCATGGCTTAACAGGGAGTCGTCATTAACCCATGAATTCATGGGTTAATAGAGACTTTCACTCTTTACCCATGATTCTCTTAACCCATACCAAAATCAGTCCACCGAGGGGTATGGGTTAATAGGGAGTTGACTGTATTTCTTGATGATTTTTGGTACTTGGATAAACAACTGCAAATTGGAGCATCAACTCTCAAACCTTGGGGGAAGTTGTTGTGAGTTGACCAACCTGGGATGTCATTGCAACCAACCCGGGACATTATGATCAGGTCCCCAGGACCCAATATGCAGTCCTGGTTTTTTTGGGAATTGTTGCTCACATTTAGCTTCTTGAAATGAGAGTTGTTCCCCTACCTTGCCAAGGAATATTCCTCCTCAGTAAGTAGATATGGTCTGTACCTACCAGCCAAAGAGTTTCCTCAAGAGCTCAGAACTTCAAGTTTTCAAGTTTTCTGGCCAAAACATGATAATATGATGAACATGTTCTTCAAGGCACTGTGCATGTCATTTGTATTTATGGTTTGGGGTCAAGCACATCTTCTATACATACATTAATGCACCTCCACCTCCATCTTCTTGTTTCTCTTAAAGCTTTATCCTTGTTTCTGGAAGATGTAAACATACAGTAGGTATGGATTAACATCTTCTATATGCATCACATGTTTTTTTTCTTTGCTGAATTACTTAAAATACCTCACATCAGTATGTCAGGCAAATGAAAATACAAATTTTGAGTGAGTAGAGGACTAAATTGTCAAGGATATGAGGAAAATTGATAGTCTTCTATGGCTTATGAGTTTATACATAGATTGGAAGAAGTCATGGGAGGAGATCCCAAATCCTAATTTTAATCGATGCACATGCACAATGAACCGACAATTAAGCAGTCAACATTTCTTTTGGTTTCTTTCCTGTTCCGGAAGTTGTCGAGGAGAGAAGACAACTTAGATGGATGATGATTTAGACTGAGCCAGGGAGCTATTGAAGGATTCCAAGGCAGGTAAAAGGTCGAGAGTGGCCAGCCGTTCGCGGTTATGGACTTGAGTTCGGAGACGATTGACTTCGAGCTTGGCCTTACGAATCTGATCGTTAGAGGGAGCCGATCGACTAGGGGCTTCGACCATTGAAGGGCGATAGCTAGCGATCTCCAAGAGCCGTCTGATCCGCTCGATGGGCAGCTTGAGATGTCGAGCGAGTCGACGGGACTCAGCATCGTTTTGCGCCTCGATCTTCTCCGCCAACTTGTTCTCCCAATTTGTTGTCTTGAACCGCCGGGTGTGTTGGCCCGCTGTTAGCTCCCAATCGGGCACTGACAGCTCGGGAAGCGCATTCAGATTGATGGATTTTGATAAACTCTTCTGCGTCCTCGGTGAGGTAGACATCCATAGGGCCATGTCTTCATATTGACTGGGATCAAGCGTATTCGACCAGGTGTCCATTGGTGATGCAAAGAGATCTTTCCGCGCTGTGTATACAAAAAAAACAGACGGGGTCAACTTTTGATCTTCCGGTAAGGCGAGGATAACATGAAAACTCAACTCTCTCTGGAGTGGACATGGGAGGTCGGTGAAGTCCGAACATCTATACATGAATGCCAAGGAAGTGTTGCTTTAGCAAGAGTGCCTCTAGGCTAGGATGGATTGAGTGGTAGTAGTCGAAGGACAGACCGATGATCTCTCCGTTCCTCCTCCGTGTTTCGAGTGCCCACTGCTCCTGCATTTGCTTGAGGTGTCTGTCTCTTAGTTCCAATCGTTTATTTGCATCTTGAATGTTGACCGACCAATCCGGTTGAACCGGCCAGGGGATGATCTCTTCTCCTTCGCTTTGTTTGCCGGGCTTGTAAATCGAATATCGGGTGCCAATCCGTGTCCAATGGAGCTCCCTCCGCTTGCCTCCGTTCGGTATGATCACTGCTTCATGATCCACTTCTCGCAAATCTTCATAGTACATTCTATTTTAACGTCAATCATATCCCTGCCAGTCAGACGAGGGTTTTTTTCTCTCTCATGGTGATTGATTCGATGAAATAACCAACTCATTTGATCCCGGTGCCATCAACCTGACTGTACTGTATTCAAATTCGATCGGCACGTTCCGAACAAATTCCGGCAGCTCGGGGTGACCAACTTCTTTTTCTTCTTTCTGCCATATTTCATGAATTTATGGATAACAACAATTTTTACATAGAGAAAAAAGTCAATCAGACCAGAAAAACAAATCATGGGAATTTTACAATGAATTGAATTTGCTTACCCAGAATTCTGGTTCGAGCAAACTGAGCCGATTTGAAGTTCTATCGACCCAAAAAACCGTCCCGACCAATCCTCTAAATTTTTTAATGCAATCAGCGATGATGACCCGATCGCCAGCGGTCAAGTTCCAGAATTTGACGCGATCCTTGAAGTGAACAAAGTAGAACTCCTTTCGAATTCCAGGAGCAGGACGAGAGGAGGTGCCTTTGGCAGCAGCAGGGATGGCATGATGGACGAGATGGTTGAAGTCGGTTTGTTTCTTTGTCTTCCGGTTGATCGAGCCCAAGGTCGGTGGTGTGTAGGTTGTTGGTCGGGTGAAGGGCGATCGGATGGGTGCTGGTTTGGGTGGTCGGAGGTAGTGGATTGTGCTTGTCGGTCTCATCGTCGGTGGAGTTGGTTATGGTCAGCAAATGTAGGACCGTCACCGACCAGCCATTAACCACTTCTCGTTATTTCTCTCCTAAACCCTCTCCTGGGCTACTCTAGTCTTAGGCCCCCCCCATGCTCTGGCTGTTGACCCCGCCTGAAGCCGGGTCGGACCCGGGTCGAACAAACCCAACCTTGTGTGCTTGACAAGAGCTGGGTTAACCTGACTCATTCACAGAATCATGTATTAGCGGGGTTCACAACACAGATTTTGAATCCTGACCCGCGTCAAACTGAATATAAAATTAAGATTTCCTGAGCTTAATTTATGCTAAAATTAAGCTCAGAATTCACATCTCAGGAACCATAATCGGTTCCTGAGCTCAGCTTTTCAACTCATAAAATTATTAAAATTGTGATAACGAGAAAACTCTTGCTCAGGCCCTCTGGAAACCCCCCTCTCCAAGCCAAACACCCAACTTCCTTGGTACACGTCATCGTCTGGTGATTTTGATCACTCGTAAAAGTAACACCATCCGCATCGCCATCAGCTCTCCCTTCTAAGTTGGAAGTAAGTTCATCTCACTTCTGTTTGAATTCACAACTTATCTGAATTTACCTTGTTCTCTCTGTGATTAGATTGAACTTGACAAAGGGCCATCATTTTAAACAGCTCGAAACCAGTGACTGTACCCAAATCATCAACGATGGTGAGTGTGTCTGAACTATCAAGTTGATACAAGTTGACTGTATGTATGGGGTAGCTTAGATGAATGTACTCAATCTCTTCACAGACAAACGAAACAGTCGATCCATCCCTTCTTGCGATGTCTCAGGAAATATCTGAGGTCAGGCCGGACTTGCCGGACTTGACCATCCCAGCCGCTTTGAATCAAGCCGCAGATTCCTCAACTACTCCAAAGCCAAAACGAAACCGCCGTACCAATGCCGAGATGGAGATCTACAGGGCCAGCCAAGAAATCGAGAAATCGACTTCAAAGAAAACCAACAACGAGAAAGAGTTCAAATATTGGGTTCCAACTGCTAGACGCTTGGCTGCCCTCAAGAAAAATTCTAATGCACACCGTTCAGCAGCAAAGCCAGCAACTAGTACGAGCAGAACTGCAGACGCCAATCCTCAGTTTATTGCGACCGACTATCAGCTTATTTGTAGTTACCTTGAAGATCCCCAACACTACACCCAAATATATGGAAACGGTACTAGAACATCGGTTGGCCCTCAATCTCTAACTAAGGGTGCAGCATACGATGTGTTTGCTATCTACATGAACGACCAGACCAACAAACGACTTCACCTTGATGGGAAGCTCCTCCGACAACGTATCGAGGCTTACAAGAAGAGATTCACCAACGCTAAGCATTGGGCTGATACTACTGGAGCTGGTATCGATATCTGTGATAATGGGATCACCATCAAAGCTAAGTTAGAATCGATGTGCCCCTGCTATGAGAGAATGGATCAGATTTTCGGAGGCAAGCCAAATGTTACACCGGCAGCTCAATATGAGTCTCAAGGCGGGATGGAGCTATACGATCAACCAATGGATGACGACCGACTTTGATCCACCGAGTTGTTTTGCTCCAATCGGGAGGTAAATGAAAATCAAGAGACTTTGTCAGCCCAAGATCAACCTGAAGATCAATCTCACATTGCTGCTGCCGGTGAAGAAACCACCATGGGAGGAAATGCTGAGTTACCTGAAGGTGAGTTGTTGGTAGCTTTCAGATGCACTAATCAAGTGCTGACTCCACATTCTCGGAGCATTGCAGAACCAAATACCAGGTCTACTCCAGCCTTGCAAGCAGAAACCCGTCTTTCTGTCCAATCTCAGCTGTTGCCGCATCAATTGTCCATCCAAACTGGGACCAATCAGCCCCGTCGCACCATGGCATCAATTCTCGGCAACCTCCAGAGGTCGGTTGCCCTTGATGAGGCTGAAGATGCTGCAGACGAAGTCGAAGATCCACCAATCGAACCTGGTCCCTCTCAAGGTCGTTTTCCAAATCAGAATGCGGACAACCAATCGGTTCCGGGACCAAGACGAGAACCAACCGGAAACCAAAAGGGAAAGTCAACTGTTGCAGCTGCATTCAAATCATCGGCCGACAAAAAATTCTCCTACCTCGACAAGCATATGGCTATGGAAGAGCGTAAGTTTGAATGGGAGAAAAAAAAACATTCAGCTGAACAAAATAATTCAACTAAACAAGCCGATGCCAAGTTACGTATGGCTGAAAAGCTGATGAGTGAGGGACGAAGCGCTGCTGAGATTGAGATCATCATGAGATGTGCATTCTAGGTTTTTTATTCCTCTCAAATGTGACACTGTAACTTGAATGCAAATCTCTGCATGTATCTAAAAGTTGTTTCAAAGCATTCTCACTTGGATTTTAGTATTTACACAGCTCATAATCAATCAGATTCACACTATATTAAAAAATGATCGGAATATGTATAAGACACAGAATATCTAGCTATGTATGTACAAGCCTAAAAGGAAACAAGCAAAAAAAAGACAAAGACCAAGACAAAAGACAAGTGAAGTGTTGCACATATATATCTGTCAACTTTAGAAGTGAAGAGCGGAGCAAATTCCACTATGCGTAGACATAGAGAGAAAGAAAGGGGAAAAAAGGTCAGGTGATGAAATTGAAAGGAAATGGAAGGAGGAGTTGATCGCGCGAAGCGATCTGAAGATTGAGATGATCAGCACTACATACCGTGCAGACGATAAAAATATAAGAAGGATGAGGAAACTATGTCCGATCCACCCTAAGTGGGTGAGGTGGTTGGAGCAGGAGTAGCAGGAGAAGAGGAGGATCCAGCAGGTGGTGGCGTTCTCCTTGGCCAGGAGATCGATCCCGAGGAAAAATAAAAACGCGCCAGAGGAAGCACAAGTGGTGGATGAGCTGATCGAAGGTCGACAGATGATGGTGATGAGGCCAGAGAGAGATTGTGATGCCTAGACCGGCTTGGATGGACAATAGGAATAGAGTGATCGGATAGCCATGCTGGCCGATCAATAAGCTCAAGGAGAGTCCGAAGAAGAAAGTCCCGGAGACTAGAGCCCAGTTGATGATATTCTGAGTGTCTTGGCTGTATGATCGGCCGGTGATACCGGCGACGCCGGCCAGGTTGAGAGACAAGGCCCAGGTTGGGAAGGCGATGGCAAGGGCAAAAGCGACTGAGGAGTAAAAACAAAAACTCTCGGATCGAAGGCAAGCTCTTGGGTTCGGGTTTCTCGGCTTGGACTGATGTTGGACTCATCACGGTTGGCGTGGCCATTGAGCCTGGACGAGAGGGTAGATACGATCGAGATGACGAGGGGCAGCCTCCGGATGGCTGGACAATATCTGTCATGGCTTCTTGGATCCCAAATGGTAGGTATGGGCCAACCTCGACTGTACGCCAAAGGCCAACCCACACCACAATGGGGAGGGGGATGGACTGTACGCCCGATCACCCCAGCCCACAGCACCAGAGGGATCCAATCATCCAAATCAAATCTACATCCCTCTCGGCCGATGATTGGACCTTCTTAGCAGCATCTTCAGCATGTGATTGGGCTGTGTTGGCGGTATCCGCAAGTTCTGACTGTCCTTGCGCGAGATAATCCTGCGCCTTCCCTGCCATCTGTTGAAGATCGACTGCCTCCTCATGCAAGCCTGTCGAAGGGGCCTGGTAACGAAAGTCAAGTTTATAAGGACGTCGGCATGGACGAGTTGGTGGAGATGTTCGAGCGAGTTACGATCGACGGAGTCGCCGAGCAGAAGGATAGTCTTTCCGCGGAGGAAGGTGAGGTCGGGGCACGGTCTACCCCAAAGGTTGAATCCGGATCGATTGAAGAACTCAGTCTGTTGTGGTTCTTGTTCTTTTGAGGAAGAGCTGCTAGGATGGATGGGTCGATGGATGAGAGCTTCTTGTTGCGAGAGGGGCAGGTTGATCGGCACCTTGCGAATCGCCCGTAAGGCCGAGAGATAGTCCAGACTGGGCGCACAGCTCGGTCCAAACGGCACCCAGCTCGCGTCGTGGTAGAAGCTCGTGTTCAGGACCACCGTCCCGGACTCGCCGAACGGATTGCATGCGGGTAAGCCCAGATATCCTTCCGAGAGACTCTTCCATGAGCTCGTGGATGGCGACGACTTCCTTGACAGTGGCTGGAGCGGTGGACATCTTGAGGTTGGAATGTGGGGAGAATGAAAGACCTGATGATCAGATCAGAGTGAGATTGATCTTGTGTTTGTGATCGAATATAAGAGCGAAGTCGAGTAAGAGAGGATTACCATTAAATGAAGAAGAGGAAGAAGAGGAGGATTGACAATCGATCTCGAAGGCGATCACTTGTGAACTTCCATCCAAGAAATGCGCTTGTCCCATCTCCGGTAACCATACTTGTGCATCGATACATGCATAGATCTTGTTCGAACTACTCCGGCTTTTGACACTCGCATTCAGCGTCAAACGAGTCGTCGAATTGTCGGCCGTCGACTTGCTGATCTCTTTCCAAGCCTCGGCGATAGTTTTGTAAGTGCAATGAGACAAGGCAGGAAGACTAGATGTGGGTTGTGGACTCGGAGCGCTGTAGGTCTGTTCCAATTATAAAAAAAACAGAAAAACAAAAGAATTTAATTAATATTCATGGTAGTGGTTGTGTGCTAGTATTGTGGAGTGACCTACGTTCCGGGTGTGCGTTGGGCTTACTTTGATCAGTCTGGTAAAAATTTCCTAATGCTACTGGTGAGTCCAAGATGTAACGTATTTGGTCGATATTGAAAGATTGTTTAAGAAGGGATAGGCAGAGTTCCGATGTGGTGGTTGATTTCAAGACACTTTCTTTGAATTTCATCGCGATGTACCACATGGCTTGCTTGCTGTTGAACCATGGCTGCTGCCTCAAGACCTCCATCTTCCCCAGCAAGATCCATTTCATCCCATGAGTCCCCAAGATGAGCGAGCATGTTGTGCAAAGCCACACATGCATTGATCCATCGCAAGATTTCCATCATGTCCTTGTGCTCGTTAAGAGAAAGCCGAAGTTGTTGGAGAGATGCCCACCTTCCTTTGAGTATTCCGATGGTATGCTCGTTTCGTACACGAGATTTGGCAAGACAATAGTTGAATTCTGTGTTTCGATGGACTTTTGATAGCGGAGCTTTGTACGCAGGGATCGTTGTCATTGAAAGTCCATAAGCTGTATCTGCAATCAGATATTGACCTAGGAGGAATAGTTGATCAGTATCATATTCTTCTTTTCTAATTCCGATATGACAAGCTCACCGCTGTCAAAATAATTCTCTGGCTCCTTATGGACCTTCATGTTTGTGAATACCAAGCTGTCGCCACAGGATCCAGGCCATCCAGTCATGAACGAAGTGATAAATTTATCGCAATCACAAATCACCTGGCAATTGATCGAATATCGCTTTTTCCGATCCCAATAGACTTCTCCATCAATCCCAGGTCGCTGATGCAAGGGGATTGTAGTACCGTCAACAAAACCAATACAACCTTTAAACCCTTCCTTTTCCATTACATCGGATATCTCCTTACGTCGATCCTTATCTGGCCAAACTATGTACTTTGATGAGATTTCGTTGATTGCTTGTATCACACGACGACTGACTTTGACTACCGTCCCACGGCCGACGCTAAGATTGCGAGAGAAGCGTCCAACTGAAGCTCCGTTTCCGTTAGATCCAAGTCGTTCCAGTGTGAGGGCCAGCTGATGAGGGATAGGAAGTTGAGGTCGAGTACTGTTATTGTAAAAGATAGGATGGATACGGATTTGATTCAAGAGCCACAGAAATCCGGTTTTAGTTGTCCTAACAGCCTGCTTGAAATCGTTGTCACGCATGTCAAACAATTTTCCAAGATCGTAATCCTCATGGGTAGTTGCTGGTGTACGGAAATTCAAGTATCGATGTTGAAGTAAGTCCTCAAGTATTTCAGCTGCCTCTGTCTCGTCGTCGAAGAAATTTTCCCAGATGAATTGGTAGCTGAGGTTGTCAGGAAAGAGTATCGCGCCAAAGGTTGGGATTGTTGGAAGGTTGGTGATATCATCGAGCAGCTTGTCAGTGCTCTCTTGGTGATGAAAAGCCATAACAAGAAATACCTCCCTTATGAGTTGTTGACGTTCGCTGAGGCCCCGCATAATTTGATAGGTAGGTGATGGATGAGCGAGTGAGTTTTGTGATTTAGGTACCTGCTACTGTTTCCACTGGGGGGGGCAGGGTCAATGTCTTCCTTGATCAGTTATAATTCTGTTCATGAATATTACTTAAATTTAGCCTGCGCAGCAGCGGAAGCGGATTCTGAGGTGGCTAAATCAAATCCTCAGGAAATTGTATTGTGAACCCCGCTATTGTGTTTTGAAGAATGCTTGGACAGATTCACAGGATCTTCACTCGAAAATCCTGGATTCTCACCATTTAAGTTTGGATTTTTATTTTACATAATCTTTTCCCTCTCAAAGCCATGATGTCGTCATTGGCAATCACCTTTGTCACAACAGCCTCCATTGGATTCACAATCGGCAAGCTGCCTCCGATTCACCCACCGTCAAATGGTCCAAAAATTGTCTCGATGATGCAGTTTGGATACAACCCTCTCGGAAGAAGTAAGCCATCATCATCAAGTTCCTACATCGCTAGCAAGTTCAGGTGATCCATGAAATTATCTCACTGAATCCCGGTGAGTATTTTACAACGTTGCTCTCGTTCTTGGCGTTATTCCTACTTTGCTTCTCATCAAATTCCATTACATCTAAATGTGTTTCCTATCATCCTTGCAACCTCAATTGTGTGTGACATTGTTGATCTTCAAGATTAATAGAAATCAAATCTAACACTCAATGCCAGCGTGGTGAGATGAGTACAAGCAACCTCAGAGTTGACTTGAATGAAATGCAAGCCATGTCAAGAGAGACCAATCTCGATAAGACTGGAGTCAGAATGAGTTGTTACAAGAACCCTATCGAGATCGATTCACATCGGCTGACTTTAGCTGAGAGGTTGCGACTTGGTGTTCACTAAGCTCCTTGAATAAAAGGTGCAAGTAAACGGTCCTGATCTCTTTCAAATCTCGGTCATCTTGAGCTTGAGTAATGACAACCATTTTATTTTCAGCGGTTAACTTGGAGTTGTTTCAAAATCATTTCCATTTCAAAATTTCATAGGGAAGATTACATAGTCTCCTTTCCTAGTTACAATTATTTGTTTTGATTCATTCAAGGATAAGTGGGTTAGAACACCCAAACCAGAAAAGAAAATGCAGTCGACCGGAAATTTTGAGTACATGATCAATAACGATTGATTACCTTTGTTTATGTGGCATGTGTGTGATGACTACTGATAGGATAAGTCATCCAAATCAATCAATCCAGGCAAGTGAGTAAGCGACCAAAAAGCAATATGTGGTGTGAGTGTCAGGGTAAACAAACCGGTGGTAAAGACAAAAACGAACAGAAGATAAAGAAGTCATCCAATAATATCCTTGAGGTCGACGGTACACAATACCCACCGTGTCTGTAAGCATAATAGCGAAGATTGATTGTCGTTACACCTGTGATTGTTTTTCTGATTGCCAAATCTGGCTGGAGTTCATCGGATCATGAGATGTTAGCTCTCTTTGTATGACAAAACAACTGCTGAGAAATAAAAATGCCAACCTTTTGATGACCCGAAACCGGAGTCCTTCAAGCGCCACAAGGATCGTGCGAACCTCGGTGTATGCCTCGTAAGATTAAAAAGCTGTCTATTGAGGTTTTTGTTGGGATTGATGCATGGATAATTGGGGGGGGGGGATCGGTATCTGTGGTGGTGGTGGTGGTCGGCTAGGATGCAGATGCCTGCTTGATCACAGCAAGGAGAATCAACGCAGAGCTGTGTGGCAAAAACCAGCAGCTTAAACTGCTGCACAGCAGCACAACGACATAACTTTAGCGCTTGGAAAACATCGGTTTGTCCAAGCTTTATTCAAAACACAATATTTCTATTTAGACTGATTACAAATGATCAAGCTGTGGTGAAAAATAGAAATATAGTATGTATTTACATAAACTAATCATAACAAGCCTCTGGTAAGCCATATCTTTACTAGTTCTTTGGAAAGCTTCTCTCTCAATATACCAGCTTGCTACAAACTGGAAGTGAGGCTTCCTTCCCAAAAAATTTGCCATTGGATATTGCACTTCACCACAACTCTTTTATAATTGGCTTGTATTGAGTTCAAGGTCATTGACCAGCTTGGCAGAAGGATTGCCTCCTGAAAAGCTTGCTTCATAGGTTGCTGTTGAGGTTCACAGTTGTATGCTACATTCATGTCACACTGAATACTAATATTTTGCAGTATTCCTGGCTCATCAGCTGACTTGCGGAAGGATTTCTTTTCCTGATCCTTCCACATCATTCACCTGCTGTCCCAGGTATGTAGTTCTTTGTCTATTTCTCTTCTCTCAGTTGTTTCTTTCCTTTTCTCTTCATGTCTATGTCAATTCTGTCTCAGTCTCTGCTGTTAATTACTGGTGCCAAGAACCCTTCCAGATCATTCACCAGCTGTCCCAGTTCTCTTCCTGCTCATCTCATCAGTTGAACACATTGCTTCCCTACCTGATGGTAGCAAATGGAATTTGTTTCGAGTTTGGCTTTACACCAGCACAATGTTCTTTCCTGCCAGTACACAAATAGCTAATAATAATTGATCCATAAATTTGAAAATTTGACATACCTTACTCAAGCTAAGGTACAGGCCAAGGCATTTTAACATTTCACAGAAAGCACACATGGAAGTACATGGGGAGCCAGGAAATAAGAAAAAAATGAGAGAAACTTTGAGAAAAAAGCTCTTGAACCAGCAATTGGTAGTTACAATACAATTGGTATCTGGAATATCTGAGTATCATAGCTGGTGTCACCAGAAAGTGCAATATCTTTTCTGGCAAAATACCAAGATTTACCCAGTAGATTTTGTAACTTTTTTTTCCATAGGAAAGCTGAAATTTAAGGGCAATAGCAAAATAACCACATTATCAAAGGCCAAACTGCACCAATAATGCTTCTGTTACAACCACAATATCCCATTTTTTGAAAATGTTCCAGGCACTGTGATGCCAAGAGTATATATCTCCTAGCTACACCTGCTGATGAGGCTGGTTTGGTGGTGGATGAAGAAGAGACATTTAGATGGAAAAGGAGGATCCCAGGTTGTGGGGGTGTCTACAATGACCTCCTGAGATCACTTGCTTTCAACAAACTGGTCACAGCAGTTGAATTGTGCAGTTTAGCCTTCCAGGTGCCTAGAAATACTAGGGTATTTGGTCCAAGTAGAGTATATAGATGGAGGAACATAAAAGAATAATTCAAATAATTACTGAGTAAGACTCACAGGTAAAGCTATTTCTTGGCAATAAATTCCCTGGCACTCAATTGAAAATTGTGAATGGTGAGTTTGTGGTGCTCTGAGTGGTTATATGTTTTGTTGAGTGGATAACAAAATGTTGGTGAGCTGAGTAACAAAGCATTACTGGAGTAGAAATAAAATTTAATAAAAGGATATGTGGGCTGATTATTTGATTCCAATACTTACAAGCATTGAGAGCTCTTTTTATATTTGTCTACCTTCAAATTGTAGCAGCTGGGACACCAGTCTCAGTCTTGGAGGGTGGTTTGCAGATGGTTGATCATGGATTCACGACAGGGGCTGGTGACAGTAGTTATGGCTCTTTTGGTGATTGCCTAATTGTGCAAGGTTGGTTTCACTTTCACAAGCTATGTCACCTAATTTGCTTCATATTTATTATAAGGTTTATTGCTCTCTCTCTGCTACAGTTTCTATTTGTTATAGGGGCTTGGACAATCAACTCCTAGAAGTTTGAGATTTGACTCCCTAACCCCAAAACACCCGGATTTCCCCCTGGACTCCCCAAGTATTAAAAAGTTTAACATTAAACCCCAAACCAACCCTAACCGCAGGTACCGCTACTAGCGATGGTGCAAGAGACATTAAT